GCAGTGCTTGCATTAGTAGCCGTTTGAGATTTGCATTTGGAGCAGATAGATGTTAAAACTATTTTCTTGCATGGTGATCTGGAGGAGCAGATTTACATGGAGCAACCAGAAATGTTCACTCAACCTGGACAGGAGCATCTGGTTTGCAGGTTAAAGAAATCGCTGTATGGGTTGAAACAATCTCCAAGACAATGATACAAGCGGTTTGACTCATGCATGATTCAGATTGGCTATAAGAGATGTGAGTATGATTGTTTTGTTTATGTGAAGAGTCTTGATGATCGTTTTATAAACTTAATTGAACACATGATTGATTATAAATTTATGTTGATGATATACTGATTGCTGCAAATAATATGTATGATGTCTGTGGTTTGAAAGCTTTATTGAGTCAGGAATTTGACATGAAAGACTTAGGTCCTATGAAGAAGATTCTTGGAAGGGGGATTCATCAAGACAGGGGCTCAAGACGATTATGTTTATCTCAACGAGCCTATGTTGAGAAAGTGCTGGACAGGTTTGAGATGAGCAAAGCAAAACCTGTAAGCACCCCTTTGGCAAATCATTTTAAACTTTCTTCAGAACAGTGTCCTAAGACAGATATAAAAATCGAAGACATGACAAAGGTTCCATATGCCAGTGCAGTTGATATGCAATGTTATATACTCGTCCTGATTTGAATCATGTCGTTAGTCAAGTTTGTAAATACATGGCAAAACCTGTAAGGTGACATTGAGAAACAGTCAAGTGGATTTTCAGGTATCTGAAGGGTACTATAGGACATAGAATTATTTTTGGCAGTTAGTAGAATGATCCTTCAGTTGTGGAGTACATTAATTCAGACTATGCAGGTGATTTGAATGATAAAAGGTCTACAACTGAGTATGTGTTTACTCTCGGTGGAGGGTCTATATGTTGGAAATCAACAATTGAGTATATTATGACATTATCTATAACTGAAGTTAAGTACATGACAGTAGCTGAAGCTGCAAAAGAAGTCTTATAGCTTACTGAGTTAGTAAAGAAATTGGGCGTTAAGCAAGGTGGAGTTCAGTTGCATTGTGACAACCAGAGTGTTGTTTATCTGGCTAAGAACCATGTGTACAATGTGACAACCAAGCACATTGATGTCAGATATCACAAGGTCATAGAATTGATTGCTTCTAGTGAGATACTATTGCAAAAGGTTCATACTGATGAAAATGCAGCTGATATGTTGACCAAGCCAGTTACTATCAACAAGTTCTTGCATTGCTTGGACTTATTGAATGTGTGCAATTACTAGAGAAGCATGGTGACTCAACCCACAATGGTGCAGATGTAACTCACGGGTATTTTTTCTCCTAAGGGGTTGAATATTTGCCAAGGTAGATATTTGTTATGATATGACTCATATATCATATAAGGACAGACGTTGGAACGATGCTGAGCGGAAGAATCTGTCCAAATCAGAAAGTTATGTGGGTTGGGGGTGCAAGGGCAACGCTCTGCGGTACGGTACAGGAGTAATGTTGTAATTGCATATTGTACCCAATGTTTCTTTTACTGTTCTATCTAGGGTTATAAATATACATGTATGTAACCCTTGGTGTCATTTCCAAATTCTGTAATCTCTTTTCTGAATATTGAAAGGAATTCACCGCTCTGCTCCCGAGGATGTATGCATCTTTGCTAAACCTCGTTAAATCTCTTTGTGTTCTTCTAGATTTGTGTTGATTACGGTTTTTCTTTATATATATATATATATATATTGTATAAACATAAAATGATATGACAGTTTGAATATTATGTTGTAAGTGATTTTTTTTTCTCAAGTATCAAATATATTGCTATGACAGTTTTGTTGCAAACAACAATACTGCATAGAGATAGAATTGTTACTTATCTAGAAACAACAACAAATCAGTTTTTTCCAAACGCATAAAACAAACAACCAGTCAACTAATCCTGATTAGCTGCTGATCAACAGCTTATCTGGATCGATTACTTATCAGCAGATATTGATAAATTGCAGCAAAGAGATCCTAAGAGATGTCATTTGGATGTTCAAGGAAGACAACAAACATATTAGAATAGATATTTTATTTTATTTTAATATTTTGAGATTATATACATAGAAATAATAAAATTATGTAGAATATGTAAATCTTAATATTTTTATATACATTTTAAGAAAAAAATTAAACTTACTTTTTAAAAAGTGGTATTAATTTATTAGAAATAGAGAAAAATAAGACACTCATTATTACAGCGGGGAATAAAATTTATATCGCCCACCCACTTAAAATGATAAATGCTTGTTCTAAAAAAAATAAAGAATAATATTATTTTATTATATTATTCATATAATCAAAGAGTTAAATATGTTTCCCTGTATTTTATGAACATAATAAATAACTAGGAAAAATTATTTTAATTGTAAGTAGAGCGATAACTAAAATTACAAATTGTTTTTATATAGCAAAATTTTAAAATTAGCTGTGAGATTAAATAAACCTTATAATGCAAATAGAGATTTCAATTTAATTAAACTATTTGGATTAAGAGAGGGTGAATGAATTAATATAAACATTTTTAGCAATAATCATCCATTCTCTTTTTTTTTTTTTTAATTTTCAGTTAAAGAATATGATCTCCATTAATAATCATGATATAAATATTATACATTATCAACAAATTTCCAATACCCAACACGAATCTTGAGATATAACACAGATTTTGAGAATCTTTAGCGCAAGAAATGGTCAAATATTGATTGACTGTAATCCAGAGCTCTAATTTCAGCAGACTTATAATCAAACTAACCGACTCGACAAGACGGACCTAATGTCACCAAAATTAGTTCAATCCGAGCCAAATCAAGCCCTCAACAAGCCATTAAGTAGATCTTAGAAGTTTTTCAGAAATTTTTGGAAGACTAAACAGTTGCTAGATCAAGCAGGATTATAATCAAATTGAGTGTCTCCATAAGACGAATTCAATAAGCCCAAGATTGTTGAATTTCAACATCATTAAGACACTTAAATATTCATCAAACACTGTCTAATCAAAAAGAACTCTCTGTATTGTCCGATGAAAGTGACTCATATTCCTAATTAGACCCAAGCCTTAGTTCTAAGTAGAAACTATAAGGTGTTAAAATTTGTGTCCCGTCTTATGAAAGTGGCTCATATTTCTAATTAGACCCAAGCATTAGTTCTAAGTAGAAACTATAAGGTGCTGCCTATATATATATATATATATGCGGGTCGTGCAGTGCAAAGGCTAAGGGTCTTCCCGTGGGATCTTGACGGGGTCGCTAAGTTGTCCCCGTCTCAAGCATCAGAATGAGCTAACATTTGTCATAAGAAGTGATGAATGTTAACTGAACACATGCTTGGACCGATCCTACAAGCTGATAACAATATAATAACTCGCATTGCCCATCCAGACAAATCGATGAATAATGCTCGTTTCTTTATTATTATCACATGTCAAACTAAGTGTTGTTATGCAACCGACATGTTGACTTATGAGAGCTAGACCTATATAATGCTACAAAAACTAGAATCGTACTCAGAAAAGTAAGACCTCACCTGCATGAACACTCACAAACAGTGCATAAAATATGCCACAAAGGATATGTATCACGAGTTAAGCCCTAATGACACCACACCGAGTCAAAATCCATCGATAGAGGCTAAAGAAAACATGCATGAAGTGCGCAGACAAAGACTTTGGAGAATTAACTCTAAGAGTCTGGACATGAAGCCTAAAACATTATGAAAATAACAGTGTCATAAATACAAGTGAAAATCCATGTGACACCCTAAGTATATCACCAGGAGAGGAACTAACATATTTTTTAAAAAAAGGGCAAAACGCTCCTTGGACATAAACGTGGGAGCGGCTAGCGCAACAAAGAGCAAAGTAATATTTTAGGGGGGCGAAACTGATATTTCACGAGTGGCAAATGACCAAATTATAATTAAAAATCTAAATTTGAGAAGGGGCAATTTCTCCATCTACTATGTAAAATTTTGAGTGTTATATGAGAAAAATATAAATAAAACAAAAAAAAAGCACTTATTCTTGGTTTTCACATTAGTTCACTTATTAACGCATTAATCAAAGATATTTTTTTAAAAATTAGCCCTTATTATAAACTTAAAAGATTTTTTCTTCTCAATATTTATGCCACTTGTCCCCAACACTAAGGTATTACTAGGGGTGTAAACGAACCAAACACGAACGAACAGAGCTTGTGTTCGTGTTCGGTTCGTTTGAAATAAGCTCGTGTTTGAAATTGTTCGTGAAGTCACTGTTCGTGTTCGTTTCTTA